TTTTTTTTTTTTTTTTTTCCTTTTTCCCATTCCCCCCTCCTATCTCCTTCGGGCCTCTTCCCATTTGAACTTTTTCCTTCCTATTTCACATTATCTATTATACATTTTGATCCTTTTTTACACTTTCAGTTTCTCACAACAGAGAAACAATGCAGTATGCACATGTGTGTCTGATTTCACTGAGTATGGTCTCAGTGTGCAGCCATTTAGCTAGAAAAGTCTCAAGCTTATCCTTCTTTAAGGCTGAGTAGTACTGCCATTATATTAAAAAACCCACATCTTTATCCACTCATCAGTTGATAGGCATTTTGGTTGTTTCCAAGATCGAGCTATTACAAACTGTGCTGCTATAAACATGGGTGTGAATATATCACTATGATGTCATGCTTTTAATTCTTTGGGAAGATACCAAGTAGGTGTAAAGGTGGGTCAGATGGAACCTCTAGTCCTATTTACTCCCCACACTGATTTCGGCAGTGGTTGCACCAATCTGCACTCCCACCAACAGTGGATAAGGGTTCCTTTCTCCCCACAGCCCCGCCAGCATTTGTTATTGGCTGATTTCTGGATGATGGCCATTCTTTCTGGAGATGGACTCTTAGTGTTGTTTTAACTTGCATCTCTCGAATGACCAGTGATGCTGAACATTTTTTCAAATATTTATTAGTAAAGGCGAGTCTGACAGGGCAAGTCTGAGGTACGTAGGGCCTTTGCCTTTCTAACAAGCTGCAGGTGATGGTGATGCCTCTGGTCTCTGGATCAGAAAGCTGCTATAATTTCAAAGCGAGGAGCCGGAAGACTTCCCTATGAGCGTGCGTTTGCCTGACGAGCATCCTAGGATTTTGTTTTTTGGCGTTTCCTCCCCAGGCAGACGCGGCGCCACTGAGCCAAATCCCCGGCCCACACCCCAGTTTTTTGCTTAGATTTTAGTTTGGGTGGTTTGGCAGACAGTTGATGACAGCGGAGGCAGGTGCTTGCCTAAACTTACCTCTTGGTGCTGCCAGCTCCGCAGGCTTAGCGTTCATATTCTAGAAGGCGTGGTAGGGTGGAGGAAGGCGTTAGGAAAAGCGTTCAGGAGGAGGCGCGTGTGAATTGCGAGCTTTTCCAGCCGCTGCACACGGGAGCCCCCAACGAATTACCCGTCCATGGGCACGGCACCCCCACACCGGGCAGGGTTTCTCAGAGTCTCCCACAGGCCTACAGTCTGCGCATCCCCATAAATCAGGTTTTCTGTTGAGCTGGGTGAGGGTTTAAAGGCTGCAGCGGACAGGGCTCTCCCATAGTGCCTCGCGGCGGGCGGGTTTGGATTTTAAATCCCTGCGGCCAATCAGTGGCGCGCAGGCATTTGTAACGTTCCCAGCGCCGCGTTTGAATTCGGGGAGGAGCGGAGTAGTGCAAAGCTCTGCACCGACCCTGCGTGGCCCTTGGAGCAACGCTGGAAACATGAGTGCGGCTGTAGCAGCGGGGAAACTGGCGCGGGCACCGGCTGACCTGGGGAAGGCCGGAGTCCCTGGAGTTGCGGCTCCCGGAGCCCCAGCGGCTGCTCCTCCGGCGAAGGAGATACCGGAGGTCCTGCTGGACCCACGCAACCGGCGGCGCTATGTGCGGGGCCGCTTTTTGGGCAAAGGCGGCTTCGCCAAGTGCTTCGAGATCTCGGACTCAGACACTAAGGAAATTTTCGCCGGCAAGATTGTGCCTAAGTCTCTGCTGCTCAAGCCGCACCAGAAGGAGAAGATGTCCATGGAGATCTCCATTCACCGCAGTCTCGCCCACCAGCACGTCGTAGGCTTTCACGGTTTTTTCGAAGACAGCGACTTCGTGTTCGTGGTCTTAGAGCTCTGCCGCCGGCGGGTGAGTGTCGCTGCTGGGGGACTGGGATTGCCTGGGATAGGAGGCAGGTACCCCCACCCCCACTAAAGGGGCGCCTGGGACTTGGAGGTGCTGGAAGTGGTGCTGGGAACCGCGAGTTTGGGATGGGAGAGGCTTCTGGTGAGAAGTTCATGGACCTTGGAGCTGCTAGGGGAGTGGGTTCCGGGTAAGTGCAGCCTACCCGGAGTGGTGCTGCTAGGGAAGGCGGATCCCGGGCTCTCGGAGTGTGTGTGGGTGGGGGCAATGGACGCTAGAGCCCAGGAGTTGCTAAAGGAATCCCCGGGAACGGGGTAAGAGTGTGAACTCAGAGTTTCCGGCGTAGGGTGGGTCAGGGTGTGGGTGGTGGGACCCGACCTCGGAGCTTCCGGGGAAGGATCTGGACAGGGATCTGCTGGGAGGAACCGGGGGAGGAGAGACTGGGTACTTGGAACTGGGAGAGAAGGTCCCTAGGTAATGGAGGGAGCCAGAGGGAGAGGCATGTGGTGAGAGAGTGTGATGAGTGTTCAGGCAGGGTCCTGAAGAAGGAATTGGGAGGAGGGCAGGGGACTGTCAATACTCCTTCATCCCTGAGGGACCTATTTCCAGCTCTGGGCTACCTTCGTCCAGTCACCAGTCTCCTTGGGCCTCATACTGCCCCCACTTTGGCCTCCTCTCCCAGTCCCTACTGGAGCTACACAAGAGGAGGAAGGCCCTGACGGAACCTGAGGCCCGATACTACCTGCGGCAGATCGTCCTGGGCTGCCAGTACCTGCACCGAAACCGGGTTATCCACAGGGACCTCAAGCTGGGCAACCTCTTTCTGAACGAGGATCTGGAGGTGAAGATAGGTGAGATGCTGAGTCTACAGAGGTGCTATCATCACAGTTCCAGAGGTGGGAATGAGAAGGAGGCTGTAAAAAAGGAAACCAGAAGGATAGGGAGCGGGGGAATGATGGGGGACAGTCTAGACTATTTGCTTTCAGAGGTCTCTTTAGTCCAAAAAGTTAAAACAAGAGCCTACAAGCCAGTATCTTGCCTTCAGATGCATTAGTCTTGTTGCCAAAACAGTATTTTTAATAAGAATTTGAATTCGGGGGCAGGTGATTTAGCTCAGTGGTTCTTCTGCCTGCCTTGCAAGTGCAAGGTCCCTACCCGGTACCAAAAAAGAAAAAGGAATTTGAATTTGTTTAGCGGGGGATCAGGAATGCTAGGCAAGCACTCTACTATGGAGCTGCACCTTTAGCCAGTTTCCATGTTTTTAAAAGTTGGAGGGCCTGACAAAGCAGTTGGCATTTGGAGCTTCTTTAAAAATGAACAATGCAGGGACAGCATTCTCTTGGGGTGTCTTCTTGCTGAGCTAAAAAGCAGAGGTCCGCTTTAGACTCCCCTCTGATTTTCCATGGCACCCACTTCCCTATCACATGTTTGCAGACCTGCCAAGTAGCAGTCTTGAAGTTGCTTTGCTTGATCCCGAGACGTTTGAGGTTTACTCTCCCTGTCAGTTCTCTGTTGGAAGCATAGCCCTCCCTTCCAAGGGGATGTGAGGGAGGGCAAAGAGAGGCAGCAGGAGGATTCTGGGCAAACCTTGCTGCGCACATGGAGCAGGTACTGGGAGCACATGATGCTGGTACTCGAAGGTCAGGCTTGAGCCAGCTTTCTGCACTGATGGCGGAGGCTGGCATTTGAGCATCCCCTCTTCCTCCCTCTGTCCCAGGGGACTTTGGACTGGCAACCAAAGTGGAATATGACGGGGAGCGGAAGAAGACCTTGTGTGGGACTCCTAATTACATAGCTCCCGAGGTGCTGAGCAAGAAAGGGCACAGTTTCGAGGTGGATGTGTGGTCCATTGGCTGCATCATGTAAGTTAGGAATTTTCTCATGACCTCTGCAGCCACAGAGGGGCCCTTTTGAGACTTCTTACCTGACCGACTTTGTACTGTGGCTCTTTCTGCTCCATGGAAAGTCTGTTCTAGAGGACCTGTTGCCCCAAACACAGCCTGACTTCCATATATTCCTTATCACTTTTGGGTATTGTGTAGGATACTGCAGCAGGGGCTGTGGGTCTAGGAAAGTGGGCAGAGACCTCCACAGCTTTGCCAGTGGCCTCTGAGGCCTTTGCACAGAGTCTTGATCACTATGGACTAGAGCTGAATATTCCCTGGCCCACTGAAATCCATGTCTCCTCACTTGCATTTATCTGAGAGTTCATCCCAGCCAGTAGTTGGGGGCTGCTAAGCAGACTTGGAGATTGTCCTCGGGCCAACAGATTACTGAGTATCAGAAGAATGTCTGTTCCCCCTTGTGTCCCCCAGGCAGTCCTTCCTGCTCTGGGTTTTCCCTGGGGCCCTTCAGCCAAATTCCACCTTGTGCTTACAGGTATACGCTGCTAGTGGGCAAACCACCTTTTGAGACCTCTTGTCTGAAAGAGACCTACCTCCGCATCAAGAAGAATGAGTACAGTATCCCCAAGGTGACTAACAGCACTTTACATTTAAATTTATTTCATTTACCATTCCCCAAAAGCTGTATCCTGGACAGAGGTAAATCAGCCCCAGCCCTAGGGCAGAGACGAGCTTTAGGAGTCTTTTGAAATTGTCTGCAGAACTCAATACATATATACATGTAAGTTTTCTAGAGGGAGGGATAGTTTAGATTTCGAGTGCTTCTCGTGCAGTGGGTGCTTGCAGAATTGTGAACTAATGTGAAATCAAGGGCTTCCCAGTGACGAAATGGCATTCATTTTTATAATTACGGGCCTAAATTCATCTAAAGAAGCAGCCTGTTTCTATAGAAGCCTGGCACACATCCACTTTCCAGTTTGGTGTCCTTGACTTGTATGAAGCTCAGAGCCACATCTGTGCAAGGACATTTGGAGGAAATATGTCACAAAGGGTCATTTCACTGTCAGACAGCACAGAATGGCTCAAGCCAGCTGGGTTGGGTGGGTGTGATCACTGTGTGCATTCTCAGACGTGGCACTTAATCTCCTGTGCCTTGGTTTTCTCAGCCGTACTTGAAGGGTAATAGTAGAGATCTCTGCTCTTAGATACTTTTGTGAGGACCAGTGAGTTAATATACAGGAAGAACTTAGAACACTTTCTGACACAATGTGAATGCAGTTAATGTGAGGCAGTTACAATGCTGCTGGCCTGTGCTGGTCTTCCTAGTGGCATTCCAGGCTGTGCTGTGTCCTCATAAATGCAGATGCAAAGACCCCAGAAAGCCCAGGTTACTTGTCATGGCTGGTGTTAAGGAGCAGAACTGGGATTTAAACACAGCTTAGGATCTTGAGGCCTGTGCTCTCAAGTGCTTCTTTAGCAGTGAGCAACTGGAAGTGTGTAAATTCAGGGGAAAAGATTACCCTAAATCAATCTGCAGTCTCAGGAGGAAAGCAAAATGATCATTGTCACAACTTAGGCAGGCAGAACCAATTGTGGAGAACCTGGTATTGCTTACGGCCCTGAACTGTGACGTGTTTGAGGCCGGGAGGCTGCAGGGCCTTTGTGGCAGTGCTGCCCTCGGAATCCCTACCACATCCTGCTTACGGTTTTCCCTGTGCTGCAGCACATCAACCCCATGGCTGCCTCCCTCATCCAGAAGATGCTTCAGACAGACCCCACTGCCCGCCCAACTATTCACGAGCTGCTCAACGACGAGTTCTTCACTTCTGGCTACATCCCAGCTCGCCTCCCCATCACCTGCCTCACCATTCCCCCGAGGTTTTCCATAGCCCCCAGTAGCCTGGACCCCAGCAGCCGCAAGCCTCTCACAGTCCTCAATAAAGGTAAAATGGTCTCCTGCCCACAGTGCCTAGGCAGGAGGCGGGTGTGAGGCTCACTCCCTGGCCTCCAGAGTGTGGCTGCAGAGTAGGACAGGGCTCTGTCCTTGAATCCCAGTCCCTGTCCCCTTCTGACCCTGGGCCATGTCATGAAAGATAGATTTTACCACAGCTGGATCAGCCCACTGGGTCTAAGAAGAAAACAGAATGCCCAGCCTGAAAAGTGATCTAAGTGTCAATCTTGTGTAGCTCATTTAGAGAGTTGGATAAATATCATGGTACACATAGAAAATACCAAGGGTCATCAAAAGATATGGTGACTGTTAAATATTTTATTGCAGTACAGGACGTTGTCATTAATGCCCGCCCTGCAAATAATCCCTCTGCTTCGAACACAGTGGTCAGGCACTCTTGGTAATGTGGTTTTACCAAGTTTTTTTATTTAAACATTGTATTTTTGATTACCCCTTATAATGTCGTGGCCCCCTCATGTACCCGCAAACAGTTACCAAGATTTTACACATTTGCTTCGCCTGGCCTGCTCTGTTCTTCTCAGTGATGTAAGACCAGCACGCTGTCATTTTACCCTCATTCACTTCAGTACACATCTCTTTGAAAAGATGAACATTTTCTTCTCAAACCACTTGCTACTGCTTAGGTTTCTGGTTCTCTTCAGAAGACAGAAATAGCAAATACATATTTATATGGAAACCTTATGTTTATATTTCTGATTAACATTGTTTTTATTATTTTATTTTGATATTAGTCCAAGTTTATAAAAATGTGGAACAGAGATGCTGCTAAGCTACATCCCTGGCCTTTGTCATTCATTCTTGGTCCTGTCCTTTATTCTCAATACTTCAGTGTATTTTCCTAAAAACAAAGATTCTCTTACATAAGCACAGTACATGGCAGACACATTATCAGGTTCAGGACTTTTAACATTGATCTAATATTGTCTTATAGCAAGCTTTTCTCCCAATCTGTAGTTCCTGCTTTTCTTTAAGTGTCTGATTCAGACGTAATAACAAAGTTTTACTCCTTTGATTTTATACTTATAAAAATATTCCCCATCCACTGACCAGGCTCACCTTGACCTCATGATCCTCCTGCTTTAGCTTCTAAGTGCTGGGATTGCAGGTGTATGCTACCATGCCTGGCTTTATATTTCTCTTAAGTTGAAATTTTTGTTTCTTTAGTATATTTAAATTTTTTTCAACATATATAAACTAGTTCCTGTTGCTAAATGATGTTTATTTTCTTTGTCCTTGAAATGTATTTTTATATATAGGATAGTTTTAAAGGATATAGTTTTGTTTTGTTCTTTTGGTACTGGGTATGGAATTTAGGACCTTGAGCTTGCCAGGCAGGCGCTATGCCCCTGAGCTACATCTCCGGCTCAGGATATAGTTTCTTTTTAACGTAGTTTTAAAATTATTTTTCTCTGTAGATATACCACCAATTTAGTATACAACTCAAGTTCATTTGTTTCAGTTAGTTAATTTTTAAGTCTCTGTTATGTAATAATCGTAGGCTTATACAGAAAAGTTGGAAACAAAATAGAGCAAAGAGTTCCCATACACCCGTCATGGATCTTCAATGCCCGTATCTTGCATAGCTGTAGAACAGTTAACAAAACTAAGTAATACTCAGACAAACGCTAGCCTGTATCTGCACCTAGCAGTGTTTGCCAGTAGTGCCCCTTGTCCGCACCCCACCTGGCATATACTTAACAGGTCTCCTTAGCCTTCAGCCTATGGCAGTGCCTTAGTCTTTGCTTGTCTACTTAACAGGTCTCCTTAGCCTTCAGCCTATGGCAGTGCCTTAGTCTTTGCTTGTCTGTCATGACCTGGGTGCTTTAAAGACCACTGGTGAGTTACTTTCAAAAATGTCCTTCAGGGCGGGGATTTCGCTCAGTTGTTCTGCCGCCTGCCTTGCAAGCGTAAGGACCCAAGTTCGATCCCTGGTACCAAAAAATAAATAAAATGTCCTTCAGTGTGGATGTGGTGCTTCCTGTGATTACCTTGAAGTTGTGCATCTTTGGTAGGAATAACTCAGGAGTGATGTTCTCAGTGTATCACATCAGGGCCACATTGCTTTTTATGGATGATGTTCAACTTGGTCACTCAGTTAAAGTCTCATCTTATGGATTTCCTTATTGGAAAGTTACCATTTCTCCTGTGTAGTCAGTAGATACCTTGAAGGGAATTACTTTGAGACTGTCCTGTGTCTTAAACTGTTGCCCCCTAACTTTAGTACCAGTGGGTAGATGCTAATTACAGCAATTATTACTGTGCTTTGTCTTTTCTTTTTTCTCCTTTTTTTGTGGTGCTAAGGATCAAACTCAAGACCTGCTGCCTCCTTAGTCTGTGGTATGAAATGTGCTGGTGATTTTTCTTCTTTCTCCACTCCTACATTTTAGTAATTGGAATTCTTTAATCTCTTCTCTCCCACTTATTTATTTTGGCTAATCATATCACTGATAGGCTCATGGGTATTTATTCTTTGGGCTATAATACTTTTATTTCAAGGATTACTTTTTTTTTTCTTTTTAATTTTAAATTCATAGAATTTAAAAATATTTGTTGTAGAAGTGTTAAGCTTACCCAGAGGTAGAGAGAACTGTGTTACACACCCTCAGTGTTCTTCATCCATGGTTGTCAAGTTTAGACAGATTTTTTTTAGTATGTTTCACCCCCTTTCCTTTTTTGCTGAAGTTTTTTGCTAAAGTTGGTCCTGACATATGTTTTTTTGTTTTTGTTTTTGTTTTTGTTTTGGTTAAATTGAAAATTTAAGAAAATTTTTATATTACACACATTGCTATGGGGAAAATTAAATAAGCAAAAAGAATAATAAAAATCATCCATTCTTACCACCCAAATACAATACATGTTAAAAATTCAATGTATTTGTTTTTGGATTCTTTGGTTATATATAAGCATGATAGTAGATTTTTGGGGTGGAAAATCTTACACTTTCCTTTAAGGCCTCCTGAATGCATCCTGCTGGCAGACTGTAGTTTACTTGCCTCCTTGTTTTTCTGCATGCTGAAAATGCTTTTCATTCTTTGCTTGGAGCTTTTCATTCTTTGCTTTAGCTCTGAGCTGCTGGCACCTTCAAGATGCCCGCCCAAGTGACCATTGTTCTATGAGGCCTCGCTCTGGGTCAGGGGCCTGAGCACCTGACGTGGTGAGCACCACGTCTGTCACAGGAGCAGGGCAGCTGCTGCATTAAATACCTTTGTACTGGCTTAGCTTTCCCAAAGCAAAGGTAGCTAAAAGCACTTTTTCTGAGAAAAGTGGCAGGGAATCCTGTGCCTCTTCTCGTGCCCAGCTGATGACCATGTTGCCTTCCTAGGCATGGAGAACTCTCTGCCTGAGCGTCCCCGGGACAAAGAAGAACCAGTGGTTCGGGAGACGATCGAGGCTATTGAGTGCCAGCTTGGTGACATGCTGCAGCAACTGCACAGTGTCAATGCCTCCAAACCCGCAGAGCGGGGCCTGGTGAGACAGGGTGAGTACTGCAGGGGCCTGGGCCATCTGGAGAAGGTGAGCAGCAGTTACTTACCCGGGCCCTTTCCCCATCACACCTCTGCTCCCCCATTTCTATAGATGACAATGCAGTTGAGTTAGCCCGACATCCACAACCTCCATGGTATGGCTCCTGACTATCCATCTCTTTTTGCTCAGTGAGTACTTCATCTTCTGCAGCCTGGCAGGCTACCCTTGTACATCTGCACAGACGAGCCAGAGACGCAGCCCGCCTTCTGCTCCTTCCCCTCAAAATACACTTCCTCCAGACCTCTGCCTAGCTTGCACTTGCCCTTTCAAGTGCCTGCTCCGGCATCACCCCCTTGCCTTAGCTCTCTGCAACACTTCTCACTCAACATAGTCTACGTTTAGTTTATTTGAAATAATGGTTTTGTTGCAGGCACTGAACATGACATTTGGATATATCTGGGATTCTCTGTTCGCTCAATTTCTTACTCTCCAAACCAGAAAACTAGATAATCCGATTCTTACTGTTTTGAGCATACTTATTTTGATTAGTCTCTGTGCCTACAGCTGGAATATGAGCTCCATGAAGGCTGGGTTTTGTGCCAACTGTTGTTCTGCCTGCCTGGAAGGAGTGGCACTCAGTGTGCTGTGCTGTCACTTTCTGCTGCCACCCGATGGCTTATTGGTGACAGAGGCCCTGCTGTATTTTGTCTGAAGCCCAGGCCTTCTGACAGCCCGTGCAGTCGAGCTTCCCTGGTGTGGGCACATGAGCAGGCAGTAGGGGAAGAGGCTGGTCCCGACGCTGGTCTCTGTTTCTGTTGCAGAGGAGGCTGAAGATCCCGCCTGCATCCCCATCTTCTGGGTCAGCAAGTGGGTGGACTACTCGGACAAGTACGGCCTAGGTAGGGGCTCGGGCTCTCTGAGGTGGTGGGAGGCTCGGGATGGCCATGATTGACCCTTTCGTCTCTGCAGGCTGTAGCCCTTTGTGGCTCCCTGGTCCTCTTCTCAGCACACTCTCATCTCCATGCCGGGCCTCTCCCTTCCAACCCCCAGTGCCACCACTTCTCCTTTCCGAGTCTCCCTGTCCCTGCCTCTAGGGTATCAGCTTTGTGACAACAGCGTGGGTGTGCTCTTCAACGACTCTACGCGCCTCATCCTCTACAACGATGGGGACAGCCTGCAGTACATAGAGCGGGATGGCACTGAGTCCTACCTCACTGTGAGCTCCCACCCCAACTCCTTGATGAAGAAGGTGAGTACCGCCGCCGCAGGCCGGCTGTCTGCCAGCAGAGCCCGACAGACAGGCTGACCCTGGAATCCTTCCCCGTGCCCACCCAGATCACCCTCCTCAAATATTTCCGCAACTACATGAGCGAGCACTTGCTCAAGGCGGGTGCCAACATCACACCTCGGGAAGGTGACGAGCTGGCCCGGCTGCCCTACCTGCGCACCTGGTTCCGCACGCGCAGCGCCATCATCCTGCACCTCAGCAACGGCACTGTGCAGATCAACTTCTTCCAGGTACAGGGGTGGGACAGACAGGGATAGGGTGGGCTGGGGGCGAGGGGACCCACCCTTGGCAGAGAGGTGGGAGGGAGGGGACGCGGGCAGCTCCCCTTCCACCACTCTGGGCACCTTCCCCGCGCGTCCCCATAGGCAGAGCAGCCAGGACCTTGAGTCCCTCCCTCCTTCCCTCCCAGGACCACACGAAGCTCATCCTGTGCCCACTGATGGCAGCCGTGACCTACATCGACGAGAAGCGGGACTTCCGCACGTACCGCCTGAGCCTCCTGGAAGAGCACGGCTGCTGCAGGGAGCTGGCCAGCCGGCTGCGCTATGCCCGCACCATGGTGGACAAGCTGTTGGGCTCACGCTCGGCCTGCAACCGTCTCAAGGCTTCTTCCTAGCCTCCTCCCTCCGGTGGACTGGTGCCCCCCTCCACTAGCACCGGCCCGCACTGCTGGGCCCTGAGGGCTGCTGCTGTTGTGGGCCCCCCAGCCCTGGGGGCTGGGCAGGGAGCTGTCAGCCTTGCAGTGGGGCTGCTAAGTTATTTTTGTACATGTTCATGTGTGGGTTCTGCCGCCTCAGCCCCTTCCCTTCAGCCCACTGCATGAATTGTATAGAGTATTTCTATTGACTCCGGGACGGTCCTTTCCTTAGCTTTAATACACATTAAACAGATGTGAATCTTCCTTTTCTTCTTGTATTCCCTGAGGGTGCTGGGGTCATAGCCTCAGCCACAGCTTCTGGGCTGGCTGGAGTGGAGGCCACTGGCCGCCTCAGCGCCCTGGCGGAGCTCCCTGGGCTGGCGGGTAGTAGGGCAGGAAGAGGCTCTCGGAGGCACAGCTGCTCATGATGCGATGAGTGTGGAGGAGCAGCCGCGGGAAGCGGCATGTGAAGTACTGGACAAAGCTGTCTGGGACACGGCCTAGCGCCTGCTGCAGCTCAACTGGAAGCTCTCTGTAGTGGTGCTTCTGGGAGTGGGAAGAGCGGACGGCGTCTCAGCTGTGCAGGTCTTCCTGGGTACAGCCCCACCCAGACCCTGGAACACACCTTGTTCCGCATGGCACGGAGCAGGTCTCTCACTGACGTCCCCCTGTATGACCGGAACCTCCTCAGATCTGTGGGCAGAGACGGGCTGCAGAGCTGTCCCTGCTGAGCTCCCCTCGGCCTTGGGCCCACTGACTGGCCTGTACCTGTCTGCAGTGGCATGGAGATGTGCTGGTGCCAGTTGTCCCGGACCACCTCGTAGCCTCCCTCCTCCAGTGCCATCAGCAGGGGACCCTGCTCAGATTCCTTCTCCAGCCAGTCACTGACATCCTAGGACCACACAGGGCTCCTGAGCCTCAAGACCAGCAGTGTGTGGTGTGGCGGGGGAGGGGGCATTGGATGCAACGAAAGCCTCTTGGGTGTGCGACTGCTCTGCTGGGCCTGTGCGATAGACAAGACCCGCCCAAGAGCCAGCCACTGCTGTTTACATCTGCTGGCAGGGACGCATCCCAGAGGCCACAACTGGGGTGGAATATCAGGGCACAGGCCTAGCACAGCAACAACTTGGCAGGAAGGAGCAGGTGTCTTCCCATACAGAGGGCAGCTGGGGCTGGGAGGGCTGAAAATGCATGGACTCCAGAGTGCCAACAGGGAGATGAGTCAGACTCACCAGGCTTAGCAGGGAGCCAAGCTGCCTGGGCCAGGCAGTCATGTCTGGGTTCCCCCAACCACTCCGACTGCCCCCTTTCTCAATACTTGGAGCTAAACTTGGTATGTTGGGAATCATTCAGAAGACTTTCCTCTGACCTGGAAGAACTGGAGCTGCTTGGCCCTGCTCCAGAAGAGGGGGTGGGCCAGCACCTGGCAGGCAGAGGGCCGGGCCTGTGGCAGCGGGCTCAGCATGGCTTCCACCAGGTTCCTGGCCACCACCTTGTCTGGAGAGCAGAGGGGGAGTGATACTTCAGTCCTGCCTGGCCTCGTGCCTTTCTGCCTCCTCCCTGGGGTCCACGTCTCACCCTGGGCCTCTTCCTCCAGATGAGCCAGACAGGAAGTGCCTGCGAGGATGTTGGCCTGGCGATACAGACTCTCCCCGAAGGGGTGGGCGCCACTGGACAGCACGTAATAGAACACACAGCCCGCAGAAAAGATGTCCACAGCACTGGTCTGGGGCCAGCAATGGGTGTGAGGAAGAGGAAGTTAGTTTGGCAGAATGTTCCCAGGCTGATGAGGCAGGCTGGGGCTGGTTCAGGCTAGAACTCGGTCTTGTCCCAGGCATCATCTTGTCTGTCGATCCCACCCCCAGCTGTGCCCATGCTTTTCACCCCACCTCTGCACCTGCCAAGGTCTGGTTTGGGTCCCAGCTGCTCCTGCAGAGCCCGCAGGCTGCCTGAGGAGTAAAGCTGGTTGAGCACAAGGCTGTGGGTGAGGCCAGGGATGCTTAGCTCTAGGTGGTTGACACCAGGGGATTCTGCCTGAGCAAAGCGGATTTTTCCAAGAAAATCCAGAAATCCACATTTTTATGTGGGAATTGCCCAATCTGCTAATTAGAACAGTCAAACTGTATGGCCCCTGCAGCCCTGCACTTAGTCCCTGGGCCTGGAGTCTCTGGGCCACCACTTGGAGCTTGCTCCTGACTTGAGGGGTGGGAGTGGCTTTGCCTGGTGATACCTTTTGTGCTGTTGTCATCAATGCTGGTGACCTCGACTTGCGCCCATGCACTAGGACTATAAAATCTACAACCGTGAGGCCCCAAACCCCTGTCCATGGGGTCAGATGCTCCACTTCCACTACACTGACTCACTCGTGCTGGCTGAAACTCTAGAAACCTCCAGATCGGTGGTTCACAGACCCACCCAGCTCCACCTCAGCTAGGTAAGAGCCACTGTGATGACCTGGGCATCTTTGAGCTCCCCAGTGACTGTAAGTCACACGGGGACTGAGTTCTAGTTTACAGTTTCTTTGGCCCATCTGACTTATGGGCTAGATAACTGTCCCGGGCACTGTAGCCAACCTGCTGTCCACCCACTAATGCCAGGAGCACTCTCAAGCCAAGTCACCAAAAATGCCTCCAGACATTGCCTAGTGTCCCCTGGCCAGGAAAACGGTCCGAGTGAGAACCACTGCTCTGGTCAGAAGGGCTACCTCCTCCCCTGTGCAGAGGAAGAGAGCTGGCTTGGCTCGCGGAAGGCTCACCCGCGCAGCTAGGGACCGGCAGGCGCATGGGGCGGGGGCGGGGGCGGGGG